CCCCTCCCCCAGCCGTGTCCTCTAGAACACGTGTTGCCACCACCACCACTCAGTGTCACCTCCCCTTCCTGAGGCTGACTGCACAGCAATGCCTTGCTTGTGCCAGAAGCATACACAACCCTGCCTTCCCAACCTCTCCTCCAGGAAGCCCCGTGTTCCTTCTCCAGGAGCTGCTCCTGTCTGGCACCATCTCCACTTGGCTAATTCCCCTTGTGGCCCCTCTATTGAACTGTTGTGTTGTCCATTTCCCTGTGACAAGGGCTCTGGTTACAGAGTTATTGATTGGTTCCATGCAGACAGATGGGCCCTTCCTGGCTCCCATCGAAATCCCTGGCTGTATGGGCTGATTGTTGCCTCTGAGGGTATAGGATTGCACCAGAGACCACCCTCCACGCAGTCTCCTTTGCCCGGGCTGTGGATGGTAATAAATGGAGTCAGCCTGAGCAATAATGAAAGCAATCCAGTAGGGTTACCTGTGCAGACACAAGATTTATGCCTCTTCATATTTGATGTGATTGTTTTATTGAGTTCTCAGAACAGTTGGGACTTTATTTGTTTATTGTGAGGTTCCCCCTCTCTTTTCCTCTTTACATCACCTCCTAAACCCAACCCGGAGTTTTTCTGAAGGTAACCCCGCATCTTCTAAAAAGTTGCCAGCTGAGGTAGGAACTCACGGCAGCCAACCACTGAAAACCCACAAGCCAACCACCAGGGGCTAGTCATACCCGGAAGTCAGGGCAATCTTCTAAATTCTATCCCAGAACCCACATGGTAGAAGGAGAGAACCAACTCCCACAAGCTTTCTTCTGACCTGCACCTGAATGCTGTCTTAGGTGTGCGCCACAAACACTCACTCACACACTAAATAAATAAAAATAAAACATGAAACATTAAAATCACAAGAAACAGATCAACAACCATGCCTGTCTCACATTCCTCTCTAAGTATGGGTGACCAGAACAGCAGAGATGCCCTCTAGGAAAAATAGCTTTGAGACAGAAACCTCGGAGAAGACCCTGCTTGCAGCCCCTTCTGTAAGGCCTGCAGCCCAGGACAGTTCTCTGTCCTGTTTGCTCATTCCTCTTTGGGATAAAGCCGTTTTCTTAACTCACTGACCCACCCCTGACTCTTGGCTTGTCACCCACAGTGGTGACAGACACCCGCAAAGATCTAGAGATGTGGCAAGCAATGCCACCTCTCTGCCCTAGCTTCCATGCCAAACCTGGTCCAAGAGTCAAATCTACGTGATCTAGAGCTGAATTTCAGAGGCAGGAACAGACGTGTTAGTCTAGGATGTGGCTCCAGAATTCCCATGGCTGTGATTAGTGACTCTCAGCTCATTTAAAAAAATAAGTGGTAAACCGCTGCCCACCCCCAGACCAGTGACAAACCTGAGAATTACACAGCAGGGACACCGAAGTGATACAAACTGGCATTGCTTAACACAGCAACGAGGCTGCAACGGTCTTGAAGCCAGTGCTACCACTGCAAGGAGAAATGGGCTCACTTCAAGCCAAGCAGGATAAGGAAGAATACAGGGGTGGTTGGTGATTGGCAAGCCCTGAGGGTCCACTGTAAAGATCTAAGGTTGCAGAGTCCTTTGACCCCAAAAAGTGTTGACAGCCTCAAGACATCTATCAGCTAGCTCAGAGACCACTCCCAGAGGATCTTCAGTAGCCCTAGACTCCACCTGAAGTTCTTGCTATTCTCTCAAAGAAGTAGTCTCTACCCAGGGCAACAGTTCAACCTCAAGACTCAAGCAGGAAAATCCTTCCTGCTTCGTCAAAAACTCAACCTGACGAGGTAACTTTTCCCTCTTTTGGTACATGGATCTTCCATCTCTCCCCTGCCATCTCCCATGCCAGATTTCAGTCTAAAGTTACCTGTTTACAAACATTGTCCCCTAACAGTGGTGTCATACAAGCTGAAGAGCTGGCAACTCCACACTGAGTTGTAAGTAGCCCAGTATTTATAATGATTCAATAAATTCCATGACCTGCTCAGAGCTAAGATTTTGGCCAATGGTTTCTGGGTGTGGATGGTTCCCTACCACACCTTTGGCCCAGAGAAGCATTTCTATGGGGATTTGCCAGTGGAGAACTCAGGTTGGACAGCTAGGGCTTTATTGTGGCAGGACCAGAGAATGCCAAAACCATTTTTAAAACATGAAAAGCAATTTAGTTTATAGCCATAACAGCATATTTCAAGTGCGGCGACAGCATCTGTTTGGGGGAGGAGAAGACGAAAACCTTTGGCTCAGGTGGGTGAGCAGGTGTAGACTTCCTTTCTTGCCAATACTGGCTCCTGCGCACCTTACTCCAGACATGTATGTATGTACATTGTGTGTGTGTGTGTGTGTGTGTGTGTGTGTGTGTGTCTACAACAACAGCAACACGAGTGGACACCCTTCCATCCCCCAAGCTCTGAACTCAGGCACTCCCCACTTCCCAGTGCATATTGCCTTCTATCCACAGAGAGATCTCCAGCTCCTTCCTACAGTGAAAATTCTCAGAACAGAAAGGCCCAAGTTCCTGATACAACCAGCACCTGCAGGAATGCCACGCCTTTATCAGGCATTTGTGAGAAACACGGCTCCACAAGAACCTTCCCCTTCAGGGCAGAGGACCCACAGGAATGGTATTGATGATGGGGGTGCCCAAATGTGTACCTGTGACATACTGGGAAGCCTCAACCAATTTTTCCAAAGTACCAACCATGGGAAGATTCTTCCCAAAGCAAAATTTAGAATAGCCTAATAGGTCCCATTGACAAATTAAGCCTTAAAGTCTAACTACAGAGCCAAGGCTGCCCATGTTGCTGGCTGGTGGCTTCCCTGCTCCTGGGCTCATGCTCCATTCACCTTTCAGCAATGCCTACCCAGAAGTGCCTCCTTCTTCACACCCAAAGGAAGCCTGTGGGTACCTCGACCAGCAGCCTCTGTGGCTGTTAGAGTGGTTGGATTGGGGCCATTCTTTCCCCAACGCTCATCTTAGGGGCACCCCACTAGTCTACCTTCTTACAATTTGGTAGGTACACCTTTAGACCTCTGGAGTTTGATGTTAGGGTCCCTTGTCCTCTATACTCTAGGTCTTTTTAAGGATGAAATATCCTCAAACTTGTGCCTAAACCAGCTTTAAAAATAGCCCGGCCATCCATGGATAGGTGTTGGAGGGGAGCGGACAGGAAGGGTGCTAGGCAAGGTAGCTGCCACACCCTGCCCAAATGAAGCAAACACTGTGACTTATGTGTCTTGGGGTCTCCCAAAGCTTGCAGTCCCCATCACAGAGAATAAGTGTATCTCCAAACAGTCCCCAGGGCACTGCTACCTAGCCTGGTGACATTACCCCTCACGGCAGTCACTCTTGGTTCAGCTATAGTCCTTCCAAGACTCGGTTCTAACTCACAGCAGGGTCTAGAGGCGAGGTCTCGGGGGGGGGGGCCCGGGGGGGGGGGAGGAAAAAGAAGTGTTGTTCCCTTTCCCTAACTGTCACACCAGCCTCAATCCCCAAGCTTCCCAGCCTCCTGACTTTTAAATGCAGAGCACTCATTGCTTTCTCAAACCATCCAGTGTTATTCTCCAGCTCTTTTGGAAAAGTGTCTAAATGTCAAACAGCCACACGTTTCCAGTACCTAGCTGAGCCAGGCCCAGGGAGCTGGAGAGTTTCGGAGGGTGTATAATTAGCCGATCAGTATTATGTTACCCTGTTCATAACTGAATAACCATTTTAATACAGATGGCACACACTGGGATAATTTCTGGGGTCGCCTTGCAGTACGTTACAGCACGAGTGTGGCAGAGGGAATCTTCTTTAGCCAAGGTACATTCTACCAGCTAATTCTACCTGCTGTTTTCAGGATGATTTGGGACAATTCCATATCATTTGCAAAATATTCAAAAAAGACAGGTGACGCTAGTTGCAGAAACACTATCTGAATTATTAGTCGTCCTGATAATGGGCCTATGAAGAGTACAAAGAATAACAGAGTATGAAACTCTTAACTCTCTTCTCGTTTGGGGGGGTCCCTGAGAATGAGGGGGACCTGCTTCTGGCTGGAGTGTGACTTTCGCAGTCCTGGATCTCTGCGTACTACGGTCAGGCTGTAGCAGTTCTGAAGCCAGTATGGGATCCTGAGATTGCGGGCTGCCTGAGTGCTCTGTAATCACCCTAGACTGATACCTGGCTGGGGTGCACATGCATAAAGCATGACCGTGCGATCTCCCAGAGGGATCTGGGATTAAGAGACCTAAGTATCCTGCAAGTTGAACTAACTAGAGCCTGTATGGTCCCAGTGTCTGAACCTATCAGCACGGAAAAGATTGCAACCTCCAGAAAGGCATGCTTAGTGATGGGGGTATCTCCCAAGAGTCAGCTGCAGGGACCCTGCTCTCACTCCCTGCCTGGCATCCCAGTCCTTGTCCAGCTCCCCTTCTCTCTGCCAAGTCCTGGCTGGTGGCTGGCATCTGCTTTGTAAGCCTGGATGCCAGTGCTTCTCGGCCGGAAATTTGTGTGGCGCTGGCTAGCAAGACCTGGGCTCCTGGGAGGCAAGCTTTGTGGGAGTTGGCTGAAAGGGTAAAGGAGTCAGGATTCTGGATGCCCCTGGGGAAGGGTACATGACTTTAGAAAGAAAAGTCTGTTTGGAAGCGATGAATAGACAGTGGTCATTTTAAAAGCTTTGCTATGGGCTGTGATTGTCTCTAGATCCCGAGGCGGGTAATCTTGGAGTCTTAATTACCACAAACACTTGGATTCATTTCCAGGACACCGGCGGGAGAAGCCTGGCAGGGAAAACCCAGCTCTGAATTGGAAAGAACCCTGTCTGTCTGTCTGTCTGTCTATTTATGCCTCTCAGGTCCCTTTTCCTTACCCAAAGACTTCAGGCTAGGGGCTGGAAGGAGGAACAGAGGCTGGACAGAGCGAAGATGGACCCTAGGAGACGGCCCAACAGGCAGTAGCAGGGAACTGGAGCCCTGCCCTCCAGTCCCAGGGGGCTTTGCTCACCTGTTGATGGATGAGACGCTGGGCACTGTGTCATTGTCGCAGATGCCCTCAGCTAGCAGCCGGTCACGGATCTCCCAGGCGAACATAGTCGGGTTCTGCCGCTTGTATTCAGCAATCTTGTCCACCACTTTGGGCGTTGCCACCTTGGGCTTGGAACCGCCAATCACTCCAGGCTTGATGCTGCCGGTCTCGTAGTACCTGGGCCAGGAAGGCCGTCGGGGTCAGCAAGAAGCCGGTGGTGGCAAGGGCAGGGGGGCTGCAAGCTCCAGAGCTGCTAAGCCGCTCTCCCTCCCTAGGCATCAGTGTGAAGGGAAAAAGGCCCTGTGTAGCTGAGCAGACTTCAGGAGGTGCTTGACTAGGGCGTAGTAGCTGGGCATGGACAGTGACTAGAGCAGGCACCCTGGGGAATGGAAGCCTGGCCTTCAACTTAGGAAGCAGAGAAGGACCCCTGCTGGGAGAGCTGACCCCATCTAAAGCCCAGAGTCCCTATGGAACCTGGACCCTCCTTTAGCCTTCCAAATGCCATCTTTTCTCCTCTTGGGATGCCCCTTCTTCCAACCCCATTCACATTGCTTAGCTGGGAAAAAAAAAATCCCCCCTTTTCTGAATGTAGCTGCCTTCCTTGGAAGGCCCAGGGAGCTGGGTTATGTTGTGTAGACTCTACTCCACCCTCACTCCAAGCCTCAGCCACCACAATGGCCCTTTTAAAAGGGGCAGCCAGTCTTTTGATCCCTTTAAGTCCAGACCTTCCTTTCCTGCCTAGCACCTCAACTTTTAACTAAAGCCTCAGCTGGAAAGGGAGGCAGCGCCCGGCCCTCACCTGCCCAGGATTTTGCTGACACAGCCATGGCTGACCCGCAGCTGCCGGGAGATGTCACAGGGCCGCACACCCTGGTGGGCCAGCTCCACGATGCGCTGCCTCACCACGTCGGGTAGGGGCCGGCCGTTCACAAACACCCCCCCGAGCTGGTTCACACCCCCGTGCCCTGCTGGGGAGAGACAAGAAAAAAACACAACACCCCACACACAGCAGGGACCGGCCATTAGTCAGGGTCCGAGGCCAGCCACGTGCGAAGGGAGCAAGCAGGGCTAAGGGGCATATCCCGGGATACGGGGAGAAAGGTGACTTGGTGGGCGTGCAGGAAAGAGGAGGATTAGATATCGGACCCCCGCTAGCTGTAAGAACCGAGAAGCTGGCCTAGGGAAGAACCTGCCTCTCAGACTAGCGCGCTGCAAAGGAGAAAGTGCGGGAAGAGTAGAGAAGCCAGGAGAGAATAGACACGAAGAAAACAAACGACAAAGGGGAAATAATGTCAGCAGGGATGAAAGTAGGGAGATGGGGAGAGAAAGGACCGGGCCAGGGACAGCACTGTTGCCGACTAGGAACCCGCCTGCGCTGCAGGCTAGGTGCTGCTTGGGTATCACAAGGGCTTGAAGACAGATGATTTTGGAGGGTCGGGGTCCTCTTGACTACGCTCAGCCGAGCCTTCAGTATAAAGAAGGACTTAGTCAAACGCACCCCTTTTTCACTTTCGCTGCCTGCCTCTCCCCTTGTATCTAATTTTAATTGTAATTGTACGATGTCCTCTTTCCCTGTTTTTTTTTTCATTTTGTTTTAATCGGGAGTTCTTCCTTCCCTTTATGTTTTCTGTCTTCTGGTATTTGGAACCATATTTTCCCTCTACATCCCTAATATCTAAGATGGAAAGAAATCCAGGTGAAGAAGAAACGGCAGAAGAGATAGTGATTCGGGATCCGCTGCACTCCGAGACCGCAAGGCGGCTAAGAGCCTAGCTCTCCCCAGCAGCCGCTGACGAACGTGGGTTGCTGGGGTTCTCTTGTCTACCATGCTGCTCCGGGCTGGGGTCCCCCGAGTCTCCCCCAGCCCTGGGTGGCATGGTAGGTAGGGACCGCACCTGCGGGGTTAGGACTCAGAGGCACTGGGTGTTGCAGCCTAAACCAGTTCGGGACCCTCTGACCTCTCAGACCTCGGCAGCTGCCCAAGAAACAGAAAGGGAGGATGTTCCACCTGCCGGAGCAAAGCCCTTGGCTTCCAGACCAACTAGGGGTGGGGGTTCCCAGTCTAAAAGCTGAGAAGGCCACCGGACTGCCAGGCTCGAGGCCGCTGCCCTATTTTCCGCGGCCTAAAGCAGCCTAGAAATCCTGCACTTGGAGTGGTTAACCTACAGCTGCAGTTACTCAGCAATCTAACCGCAGAGACTTCTAGCGGCAGAGTCAGGACAGACAAGGTCTGCAACCTGCAGCCACTGCCCCATGGCCTCCAGCGAGTTTCGGAGAAAGCGGGCACAGCTCGTGCCCCCTTTATCTCTTTCCCATAACATTCTGCCGAGACCAAAACAAGCTTGGGAGAAGCCCCTGGACAGAGGCCTCTAATCGAGAGGCTCCGGGAAGCCAGAACCTCTTATCTTACACCCCCAGTCCCCATAGTCTCCCCATCTTGGTCCCACTCTTCTCCCCCTCCCCGCCCTACAAACCCCGACCATCAATAATTTAGGCCCCGGGAGAACTCGCGTTACCGGTATGAAAAGGCGGCAGCTGCGGGCAGATTAAAGATGAATAATTCAACCTCACCGGGCTCCGGGCCCGGTCCCTCTGCCCCAATATATGGAATGGGGATTGCAACCGGGCACTTCTGGAGTTCAGGGCCGATGGACCGCGGAGGATCCGCGCTGAATCAGGCCTGGAATGTGCTACTGCCGAGGGCGCCGACCCGGGCTGTTTACAGCTGCTCGCCCGCCAGCCGGCCGCCTTGCCGGCCCGCGCAGTGCCCTTCTCCCTTCCTTCGACCACCTTCTGCTGGCTTTGCTCCCCTTTTGGTTTCGGAGCGGTTCCCTGAGTCTGGCCCTGACTGGCGAGTCCCGGAAGCAATCCCCAAAAAATACTGAGCTAGGCAGCGGCAGAACGGCCGAGACGGAGGCTGGCCGCCTTGGTGAACCGGCGTATGGACTCTGTTTCATTCCCTCTGAAAAAGAGCTAGGCTTCCTGACTGCCTGAGACACCCACAGTGACCCGTAGTCCCTCGCTTGGGTTTCCTTTACCTAAAAATTATTTAGAGAACTATATTTTATTTCGGAAGTTTTTTTAATCGTCCCATAAAGTTAAACGTGTGCTTAGGAAACGAATAAACAAAACATGGTTCTCTCTTATTGTATCATATTTTAAAGCACAGATCAAGGCTAGGTCTAAAAAGTTACCTTGTGGAAAGTTACAAATTATCCTTAATTATTAATCTATACATGAGGAGGGCTTTTCTATTTAGAATATTATTTATCTTTTTAAGCAAAGAAAAATATCTGACAAATAGTTTTCCAAGTTAAAGACCTAGCATGAATTAGATAAATTCAAAATTCATTAGATATTTCCCCGTTTCCTATTTTTCTATTTTTCCACCCCCATAGCATTCTTTTATTTTTTTCCTTGATTTCCCCCTCTTGGTTTGATTTCTCTTTCTTTTCTCCTCGGCTTTAGCATTTGCCTTTCTTTTGTTCTTTTCCTCTCATTTTTCCATTCTTGCTGACCCCCTGGCCAGGGCGCTGGCTGCTTGATCCTCAACAGAGAGAGGAGGCAGGCAAAGAAGTCTCCAGAAAGCAAAGCACCCAGGAGCTGGTCCGGAAGGCTCTACTACTTGCTTTCGTCCTGACTTTGATTTCTTCTCAAAACCCCTTACTGTTTTTAGAACGATCACCCTCCCTGGGCAAAGTCAAGAAAAGTGACCACCTTCTCCTGCCAGTCTCATGTTCCTAGCTGAAAGGGAAGAGAAGGAGAAGGCAGAGAAGTGAGGATGAAAGAAAGAGGATGGGAATATTTCAAACCAGTCCCCATGAACCTTGGCTAAGCTGGAAGGAACAAGAGAGCTGGGACTCAGAAGGGGTTCACACCCCCAGGAGCTTCTACTTTGCTGTCCTGACACCGAAGCTGTTCAAACTGGGAGCCTCCTCCTGATGGTCCACAACTCTAAGTTTGAGAGAGGTAGATGTGAGGGGAGGGTGAGGAGAGAGAGAGAAAGAGAGAGAGAGAGAGAGAGAGAGAGAGAGAGAGAGAGAGAGAGAGAACTGTCAATTAATTCTTCAGTCCAGGGCAAAAGCTAGGGAGTAGTGGGTGGCTCTGACCTGGGCCCAGGGCTACATATCCCGCGAGGTAAGGAGGAGCAGGTGGAAGGAGCAAAGGCAGGTGGAGCACTAGTGAAGGTACAAAGGCAGACAGAACAATAAGCATGGGGTGTCAAAAAGCAGAAGACAGAGTAGCTAAAGACAGGAGAAACACTAGGTAAGAGAAATAGGCAGGGCGCAAAAGGAGGGGCCGAGGAAAAGCCGGTGTGGCCTCTAGGATGAGACCTGAGCGCAGGGGACCGGGCAGCACTGGGACTAGACGGGATTGGAACCGAGACAGGAGCCGGGCGCCGGTACTCACGGTGCATCGCGGAGAAGGGGTCTGCTTTGCAGTGCATATCCATGGGGAGGCAGAGGAGCGGGAGCAGCGCGGCCGCCGCCGCCGTGTCGCCTCTCAAACTCAACTTCAGGACTTGAGGAGAAAAGGAAGGGACGGTGGGGGAGGGAGGGTGAGCGGGCGCCCGGCTACTGCGGGGTACGCGAGGGTGGGGGGCGCCGCGCTGGGCTCCCCGCCGGGACTCCTCCGGGCCCGCCGGGGTTTGTAACCGCAGCGGCTGCAACTTGCCACCGTCGGGGTACGCGGCTGGGCAGTCAGTAAAGCAGCCCCCGGGCGACGGGCTGGGCCAAGGGGCACAGGGGGCGCATGACTCGCGCGCCAGTTGCGGCCAAGCTGAGGCCGGGTGGGGAAGACGGCTCACTCAGCTCCCCTGGAACCCGGTGGTCTAAGAGGCTCTGAACGGAGAGGACTCAGGGCAGGGGCCGCCCGAGGGCGCCGGGAGGAGAGCCGGGCTGCTCCAAGTGCCGGCGAGTTCGCGAAGTTGGCAGAGAAGTAGCAATCCCCGGGATGTCCAAGCGGCGCCCGCTGGAGGGGAGCGCGCGAACCGGCCCCCGCCCCCGGAAAAGGCAGGCGCTCGCCGCGGCGGCCGGAGGGTCAGGAGGGAGGGAGGCAGCCTAGGAGCCGAGCGGCGCCCGCAGCGCTGTGCTGGCCCCAGGTGGGTTGCGGCTGCAAGAAGACTCGGCCGGAGACTGGAGTCTGGGCTCCCGGTGTGTGTCTCTCTAAAAGCTGCAAAGCCCCCTCCAGACCCCCTCCTCCTCCCCGCGCCGGGAGATGGATGACTTGTCAGACAAAGGCAATAGATTCCACCACTCTGTGATTCGCCAGTGCCGGAGCCCCGAGCTTCGGCAAGGAGGGCCCCGCGCCTGTCACTCCGGTGCCGGCGAGGGGAGGGCCGGGGAGGGGGAAACGGGAGGGAGCAGCGGGTGAAGGAAGAGGGAGGGTGAGGAGCGGGCCAGGGGGAGGAGGACTGGGAGCCCGGGATTAAAACTACACTGAGAAACGAAACTCGCCGAGAAGATAAACGTTAGATAAGGATAAAGAACGGCCAGCCTAATGAATATTCAGGCAACCACAGAGGGCCTTCGAGCGCGCTGCGCCCCGAAGCCAGGCTTTCTGTCCCAACTCGCCCAGCCCTGCCATCCACCGGCCAATGCCCGCAGATCCCACCGCCCGCGGGTCCTCATCCTTAGTCCTAACTCGGCTATCCTTAGCGCTGAGTTCCCTTCCGTTCCTCCCTGTGTCTTCCTTCCTCCCTCCCTTTACCTCTGGTCCTTCCCTTTCGCCTTTCCCTCCTGTGGTACCTTCCCATCCACGTACGCCGGATTCTCATTCCGGGGCAAAGTGCCCAGCAGTTTGTCCCCTCCCGTCCCACACGCGGTGGCGCGCACCCCCTCCCCGGAGTCTGGGCAGCCCAGAACGCTTGGTTCAGAATCAAGCTAGAGGCCTCTGGCTAGGACCCACCTGCCTTGGTGGGACCCAACGGATGGCAGGAAAGCCAGGGAACTTGGCTCTTGGACCCTCGGGTAGCTAGGGAGGGGATTGGGCTAGAGACAGTGCGCAGCGGCTTGTCCGCCACGGCGGCAGAGAATGAAAAAGCCCAAGGCGGGACCAAGGCGCTCTCTCTCCCCGGCTGGAGAGAAGAGGAGGCTGTGAACGCGGCTGAGCGCCGCCACCGCTAGCTCTGCGGATCCGGAACGAGCGCAACCGGCGCACCACGCCGGCCTGGCCCGGCTTCTATCCGAGCCGCTGGCCCAGTCTCTGCAGTCTGACCCTCATTCGCTCCCTTGTTCGCTGGGGTCCTCTCGCACGCACTAGGCAAGAGAAGTCCTTTGTCTCCTAACTGGTTAAGTACAGAATATCCGGGAGATCTTTATGAAATATTTTCCCTCGTCTCATAAATCATCTTGGCACTTCAGCTGATGTTTTAACTCTCTCTCTCCCCCCTTCGCTCCCTCCTCCCAGGCTTCCCTGGGTCTGAGAAAGGGCGGCTCTGGGAAGCTCGAGCTGCCAAACAGTGTTTTCTTGCCTGGCAAATCCGAGCCTCTTGGCGTCGTCTGCAGCTCCTGAAGCCCAGAGGAAGGGCAGTGAGCGGATTCGTGCCCCTGTCCCTATGGCCAAAAAGCCTCAGCAGTATTTGGGGTTGGGGAAAACACCTACTAGACTCAGACTGACTCCTACTGGGCATCTAGAACCCTGGTTTCCCAGGATGCCCTTACTCTGGAAGGGTTTCAGGCCAGGCACGGCTGCACAGGATTCTGTGCTTTCCATTGCTTGGAGAGATGGGTCCGCTGGGATCTGGGCCTTTGCCCTGTCTCCCGCAAATTTCTGATACCAATCTGATTAATCCAATTGCAGAGTAACTGCTGAAAAGTAAAAATTTAAAAAATAACAAAACAAGATAAAATACCTACCTGTCTGCCGCCCACCGCTCTGTCCCTCACTTCCCTTGGGCTGAGGACTGGGTTCCCTCGGGCAGGAGGTTGTAGGCTCAGGGGTCCTGCCTGGAAAGCTAGTACCTTCCTCCCAAGGCCTGCAGATGGCGCTCGCAGGTTTGCTTTGGCCTCACAACCCCGGGAACCTGCACTAACTTCGCACGGGGGAACGAAAAAGGAGAAACAGTAAGTCAGCTCCCCAGCCAGGAGAGCCAGGACCTCTCAGGTGGCACAAACTGGCATAGCCTTAGCTTCCTTTCAAGAACTAATCAACTCAGAATTGAATGTGGGGAGCATTAAAAAGAAATCGTGGTTAGAAACCCATAAAGGAACCTTGGCCAGGTCTCCGTATGTTGGGCGTACATAAGTTATGTCTTGGTAAGTTTGAACTGTTGGAGAAACAAAAAGGAGTGGAGTCCCTCGTTCCACACAGAAATCCACACTTCTCTAGGACTCAATGTATTCCTTTTCATATACTATGAGGTGTGAAACGTGAACGTGAACAATGG